CAAATCTCCAAAACCATAAGCTATTTCTCAGCCTTTGACTCAGTTGTCAATTACATAAAACACTTTTTTCAAAACACTACACACAATTCTCTACCTAAAACACAAAAATCTAACAGGAAGTGACTTGCTTTCCTTTTCCAAACACAACCAATCAAAATGCTACACTTATTCACCAGGACACACACACACTCCTCACATGTGCAAACACTAATTGCTTAACTGATCACTAACCAATCACTGCTTTACTGTAGTATAGGACTGTTTTGATCAATGGATGCCAACAATGGACAGAGAGCAAGAGGAGTAGGAGGGAGAGGCAGGGGACAACAACGAGGACAAATTCAAAGACGAATAGTTGGAAGAGGAGGAGGAGGAGTAGGAGGAAGAGGAAGAGGAAGAGGAAGAGGAAGAGGAAGAGGACGAGGGCAAAGAAGAGAAGGAAGGAGAGCCATCTCTGATGAGATTAGGGCAACACTTGTTGATCATGTGATCAACCACGGTTTGACCATGAGAGAGGCTGGACTGAGAGTCCAGCCCAACTTGAGTCGATTTACAGTGGCGTCCATAATTCGAACCTTCAGAAATGAGAACAGGTATGCAACTATCTAATGACTATTTTAGCATTACAGTAATGTACTGTAAAATACGTATGACTGCATAGTATTGCATAAACATTTGTAACTCTAAGCCATCCATTTACTGCACTGCATTGAATGAATGAGGTTGGTTATCATGCTGTACTACATTTTTGTGTACATTGTTTACAGTTCCTATGCTGAACACATACTGTGTTTGAATTCTGTACAGAGTGGAAAGGCAAAGACATCATGGAGGACGAGGACGCTTGTTTACAGATGTACAAGAGACTGCAATTATACATATGGTTTTGGCCAACAATGCATTTAGGATTTGAGAGATAAGAGAACATATCTTGAATAATGACACCATATTTAACAACATCAATGCTGTAAGCCTGTCGACCATACAACGCATCCTCCAACGGCACCAAGTGACGATGAAACAACTTTACATGGTGCCATTTGAGAGAAACTCTGACAGAGTCAAGAATCTGCGACATGACTTTGTAGAGGTATGTATGCAACACTACTTCCAGTCCTTCAGACATACCATATTTACTCATCTGTATATCCTTTTGTCTGTTACAGAGAGTATTGGAGATGGATGCCCATGTACATGTATTTATGTGGATGAGGTTGGCTTCAACCTCACCAAAACCAGGTGCCGCGGAAGAAATGTAATATGACAGAGGGCAATTACCAATGTCCCTGGACAGCGTGGGGGTAATATAACTATGTGTGCTGCCATCACTCAAAACGGGGTCCTCCATCACAATGCCACACTGGGTCCGTACAACACCGGCCATATGCTCACTTTTCTGGATGCAATTTACACAATGCTTGTCCCTGATCCAGATCAGGAGCCTGCTAGATTTGTGGTTATATGGGACAATGTTAGTTTTCACCGGGCTGTTCTGGTCCAAAACTGGTTTGCCACCCATCCACAATTTGTAGTTTTGTACCTACCCCCATATTCACCTTTTCTAAATCCCATAGAGGAATTCTTCTCAGCCTGGCGCTGGAAAGTGTATGATCGCCAACCCTATGCCCGCATGCCGCTTCTCCAGGCAATGGAGGACGCATGTGGGGACATAGAGGAAAGCCACTGTCCAAGGTTGGATACGCCATGCTAGGAGATACAGTACTTCCCTCGATGTTTGGCAAGAGAAAACTTATCTTGTGATGTGGACGAAGTATTGTGGCCAGACCCAGCCCGGAGAAGAGATGAAGCGTAGCTTAGCACTGGTGACTGCCCCCCCCCCCCCCCCCCCTACCATTTCCTGGACTGCCCCCCCCGGGACCCCCCACACACAATTGTGTTCTTTACTGTATTCTAAAGAATATACTTTTGGTTTACATATGTTTATGGTTTTGTTGTATGCTGCTGTATACAACAGTAATGTTTGGCCTAATAAATATTTTTTGTTTCTACATTGCATTGGTGTTTACAGTGTACTTGTTACCCCTCTCAGCAGATTACTTTCACTGTAGAACATTGTATTGAAATGTAGATATAAGCCTATGAAAGACCAAAGAGCTTTAGATTTAGAACAACAGTGTTTACATGGTATATCCAAACATGTACAATTATGAAAGTAGTGTTTGCCATTTGATGCAAATGCTTCATTCTGACAATGTGTTTATGGCATTTTAAATGCAGTGTTACATTTTGAAGGAGATGTGAAGCATTTTGCATTTTGTGTGTGCAGTTTTGGGAATTGTGTGTAGAGTTTTGAAAAAAGGCGACATAGTTTTGAAAACGTGTGTAAGCAATTTCAGATCTACGCAAGTGCCTAGGGAGAAGGGGTTAGGGCAGCGTTTCCCAAACTCGGTCCTCGGGATCCCAAGGGGGTGCACGTTTTGGTTTTTGCCCTAACACTACAACAAAACGTGCACCCCCTTGGGGTCCTGAAGACTGAGTTTGAGAAACCCTGGGTTCGGGTTTGCCTCTGGACAGGGCCTAACTATACCGGCTCAATAAGCACATGTCATAGAGATATCCCTTCTTGGGACAGTGGTTAGGGTGTTCGTCATTGGTGCTGGTGGCCTGGGTTCGAGACCCTGCTAGTGAAGTCACATTCTCAGGAACATATGTTATTGGGCCGTTTCCAGAAGTAACCCCTGTTCACTTGCGTAGATCTGAAACAACTTGATAGTTGTAAGCAACAGGGTGAATGCGCTCTGAAGTAAATCTCAGCTCTGTTGAAGTAAGTACACTCAAGAAAAAAACATTTTGTTGCTGATCATAGTGAATCAGGAGTGACATTAAGACAGGGTTATATGCCCCACCAACACTAGACAACTATACACTGAGTGTACTAAACATTAAGGACACCTGCTCTTTCCATGACATAGATTGACCAGGTGAATCCAGGTGAAAGCTACGATCCCTTATTGATGTCACTTGTTAAATCCACTTCAGTCAGTGGGAGGAGACAGGTTAAAGAAGGATTTATAAGCCTTGAGACAATTGAGACATGGTTTGTGTATGTGTGCCATTCAGAGGGTGAATGGGCAAGAAGGGTGAATGGGCAAGAAGAAAGATTTACGTGCCTTTGAACGGGGTATGGCAGTAGGTGCCAGGCGCACCGGTTTGTGTCAAGAACTGCAACGCTGCTGGGTTTTTCACGCTCAACAGTTTCCCGTGTGTATCAAGAATGGTATTTATTTTCAGTAATACCAATTACCCCACCGAAGACATTCTTTAAAAAAGTCATAAAATACTTTATATAAAAAATAAAATAAAAAATAAAACAGAATAAAAAGGAACGTTTTACATTTTCCTGTCTGAGAGTGTTGAACCTTCCAGACATGGTGTCACGCCCTGGCTCTGGGGACTCTTAAATGTTGAGCCAGGGTGTGGATTTTCATTGTTTAGTTTTCTATGTGTTTCGTTCTAGATCGTTTATATCTATGTTGGCCAGGGTGGTTCCCAATCAGAGACAGCAGTAGCTCGTTGTCTCTGATTGGGGACCATACTTAGGCAGCCTTTTGGCATGTTAGTTTTTGTGGGATCTTTGTTCCGTAAGGTTTTGTGTATAACCTAGGACTTCACGTATCGTTTGGTTTATTGTTTTGGTTCGTGTTGTGTACGCAATAAAGTATGTACGCTTATTTTACATTTAAGTTATTTAGCAGACACTGTTATCCAGAGCGACTTACAGGAGCAATTAGGGTTAAGTGCCTTGCTTAAGGGCACATCGACAGATTTTTCACCTAGTCGGCTCGGGGATTAGAACCAGCGACCTTTCGGTTACTGGCACAACGCTCTTACCCACTAAGCTACCTGCCGCCCCGCTTATCACGCTGCGCCTTGGTCCGCTTCATCTGTCAGCGATCGTGACACATGGAATTGTATCAACTCGCTACTCAGGGCTTTTACTTGTGACATACACGCTGTAGTTAAATGCACTAAGGAGGAACAATGGGTCCATGTTGAAGACACACACGCTCATCCCCAGAGTCTTTTTACGTGTCTGTTTTCAAAAGATAAAGCTAAGAACATTAATAACAATATGGAAGAAAATGAAACGTATTCTACAAGAACCAATATCACTCCCTAGAAACACAACCTTATGGAACAAATACTTGGAGAGCTTTTCAGAGTTCATTGATAAATTGGCCCACATGGAAAACTAAAGGCATAGACACCTTAATTGACTTGGTAACAGGAAATAGATGTATTTCCATGACTGCTTTAAAAAGCAATTTTGGATTGACCAATGTAGATATTTTCAAATACATCCAACTTAAATGTTTTATATCGCAGAATTTCAATTTGAAATCTTTTGGACATAAGAGCAATCTGGAGGGAATCCTATTTGAGTCAGAAAAGGATATTCATATGATAGGTAAGACATACCAAACCTTGCAGAGAGCCTATCCAACTGACAATCTCTTAGAAAACAATATAAACTATTGGTGTAGTTGTTTGTATGATGTCATCGTTTATATGTGTATGTACTGTTGATAAAATATCAAATAAAATCTTAATTTAAATAAAGAACGGTCCACCACCCGAAGGACATCCAGACAACTTGACACAACAGTGGGAAGCATTGGAGTCAACATGGGCCAGCATCCCTGTGGAACGCTTTCGACACCTTGTAGAGTCCATGACCCGGACTAATTGAATGTAAGTTCTGCGTAAGTTTGCTGGGACAACGATGGAATATTATTCTAACCTTCAGAAAACTGGACACATGAATGTTCTTGAAACGTTCCCAGGAAGCACGTGTAGAATATTAATATCTTACATGGTTGCTATAGCAACATGGTTGCTATGTTCTGTGTAAGTTCTGTTTGACAATAAGGGAATGGTCTCATGGAAACAGTCCTTGCATGTCACTGAAAGATTCCTATGAAAACGTTAGGTAATGAATGAGACTCTTTAAGGGAACGTTCTCTAAAGTTGTGGGAACGTCAGTAGTTATCTGGGAGACACTCACCCACGGAAGGCGCATCATATTCATCTACCGGCAGAATCTCTGGTGCTGAGCAGGCCAGAGAGCCACAGGATGTGACAGGCCAGAGAGCCACAGGATGTGACAGGCCAGAGAGCCACAGGATGTGACAGGCCAGAGAGCCACAGGATGTGGTAGGCCAGAGAGCCACAGGATGTGGTCAGGTTCTCTCCTGGCTGGAACTTGTTGCTGAAGCCAAAGTCAGTGAGCTTGACCAGGCCCTGCTTCTCGAAGAACACCACATTCTCCGGCTTGAGGTCGCGGTGCACCACGTGTAGCCGGTGGCAGTAGGAGATGGCATTGGACAATCTGGGCAAAATAACGCTTCGCCACCTGGAGGGAGAAGGAGAGGAGAGAACAAATGTTCAGCTTTAGTATTCTGGTCATAACATTTGGTAGGATATTTAGAAGGCTGCTGTAGGTCTCTTTGATCAAACACAAATATAAATGTAAGCATGAACACAAACACACACACACACACCACACACACACACACTCCCCCAACAACACACACACACTCCCCCAACAACACCCACCATCTCCCCCAACAACACCCACCATCTCCCCCAACAACACCCACCATCTCCCCCAACAACACCCACCATCTCCCCCAACAACACCCACCCACTCCCCCACCACCACACACACATTCCCACACCCACCACATACCTCCTCTGTGAGTCCTCCGTCGTGCTTCATGATGCAGTCGTACATGTCTCCTCCATCACCCAGCTCCAGGATGAGGTAGAGCTTGGTCTGCGTATCGATGACCTCGTACAGACGCATCACATTGGGGTGTTGCACCAGCTTCATACACCTGACCTCCTGGAACAGGTGAGCTCTGGCCACCGGGTCCAACCTGGATTTATCTATCACCTTCACAGCTACCTGGAATAGTAATGCCAAGAGTGTGCAAAGATGTCATCAAGGCAAAGGGTGGCTATTTGAAGAATCTCAAATATAAAATATATTTTGATTTGTTTTAACTCTTTTTTTGGTCACTACATGATTCCATATGTGTTATTTCATAGTTTTGATGTCTTCACTATTATTCTACAATGTAAAAAATATTAAAAATAAAGAAAAACCCTTGAATGAGTAGGTGTTCTAAAACGTTTTGACTGGTAGTGTACTTAATTATGTATTAAAAGTAAATGTAATTTGCTAAAATATACCTAAGTATCAAAAGTAAAAGTATAAATAATTTCAAAATTATTTATGCTAAGCATTCAACATGTACTTTGGGTGTCAGGGAAAATATATGCTGTAAAAACTACATTATATTTTTCAGGAATGTTTAAGATATAAATAGTAAAGTACAGATACCCCCAAAAAACGACTTAAGTAGTACTTTAACGTTTTTTTACTCTAAGTACTTTACACCACTGATCATCATCATCAACAAAATTATCAACAACATCATCATCAGAAGCTCCATGGTCCAGTCTGAACATAAAGAGATTTCCAGTACTTTTGAATACTTTTTAGGCAGTAGTTCTTAAAGTAGCGCTCACTAGCCAAAAGGTGGTCCCCGGAAATTGCGTACTACGTCACATATGTGCAGATATGTGCACCACGTCATTGCTCTCTCTCTCTCACTCTGCTGTGGGTGCATCTTGCTAGCTGTCACTCAAACGGCGAGGGGCTGAAGCTCATTGGCTGAAACTCAAATTGCTAGGGGGCTGGCCCACATGTGGGGAAATGTAGGGAAAATGGCGCCGCACAGCTTCCAGAAAAGAGTCGCTTTCAAACTAGGGACTTCGTGGCTAATGGAGGTAAGAGTAATTCTGCTGATAGATTATACATGTATGAACTAGGCTACACATTGACACATCCAGCCCAAAGCGTGAGGTTTAAAAAATACTTACTAGTTGTTCCGGAACATGTCTTTAACTAAGTGTCACCTTTATATGCAATAATAATTACAGAATGATTGCAAAACAATTACTTTATATTAATCAACCAATTAACCATTGACAGACTTAGCTATCTACCTTTTCTCCAGTGAAGACATGGCGTGCTAATTTGACCACAGCAAAGTGTCCTCGTCCCAACGTCTTGTCCAGGTCGTACAGCCCGGCGATCTTCCCATCGTGACCTCTCTTGAACCCCGCCATGACTGCTGGGGACTGGGATGAACTCGGTCTGATACGCTGATCTAAGGTCAGTTTTGCATTTTACCCTCTAATGGTGAAAGTCGGGATAGTGGGGTGATTGAGCTGATCTTAGATATGTGCCTATGGGAGACCTCTACTGATGTCGGATGAAGTTGGCTTTAGATTCTGATTTTAGATCAGTCTTCTGTTAGTGAACTGGAACCAATGGTGCAGTCTGCGTTACAGTCCTGTGAGAGAGGGAGGGAGGGAGGGAGGGAGGGAGGGGAGAAAAAGAGGTAGAACGTTTTGACAATCTTTACACACAGGAACCAGTCCAACACCGTAGAGAGGGATTACACACACCTGTCTGATTACAGAATACTTCAGACACGTAGGCCTAACGCTCCTTACTGGAATCTGACAGGTAGGCCTAACGCTCCTTACTGGAATCTGACAGGTAGGCCTAACGCTCCTTACTGGAATCTGACAGGTAGGCCTAACGCTCCTTACTGGAATCTGACAGGTAGGCCTAACGCTCCTTACTGGAATAACAGCTAGGCCAACGCTCCTTACTGGAATCTGACAGTAGCCTAACGCTCCTTACTGGAAATCTGACAGTTTAGGCCTAACGCTCCTTACTGGAATCTGACAGGTAGGCCTAACCTCCTTAGCCTCCTACTGGAATCTGACAGGTAGGCCTAACGCTCCTTACTGGAATCTGACAGGTAGGCCTAACGCTCCTTACTGGAATCTGACAGGTAGCCTAACGCTCCTTACTGATCGAAGTCTAACGCTTCCAAGAATCGACAGTAAACTTTGCACAGTAGAACATTCCTAACGAGGAATCTGACAGTGGCTAACGTCTTACTGAAGGTTCACGAACACAGAATGTTGCAAGAACATGTAGGTGACTATACAGGTGCACTTACAGGAGTGTGTGTGTGTGTGGTGTGTGTGTGTGTGTGTGTGTGTGTTGGTGTGTGTGTGTGTGTGTGGTGTGTGTGTTGTTGTGTGTACAGTGGCATTCCGGAAGGTATTCAGACCCCTTGACTTTTTTCCCACATTTTTGTTTATGTTACCAGTCTTAGTCTCAAATTGATTAAACAAAAATGTTTCCTAATCAATCTACACACAATACCCCATAATGACAAAGTGAAAACAGGTTTTTAGAAATGTTTATTTATTTACATAAGTAGTCAGACCCTTTGCTGTGAGACACAAAATTGAGCTCAGGTGCATCCTTTTTCCATTGATCATCGTTGAGCTGTTTCTACAACTTGATTGGAGGCCACCTGTGGTAAATTCTATTGATTGGACATGATTTGGAAAGGCACACACCTGTCTATATAAGGTCCCACAGTTGACAGTGCATGTCAGAGCAAAACCAAGCCATGAGGTTGAAGGAATTGTCCCTAGAGCTCCGAGACAGGATTGTGTTGAGGCACAGATCAGGGGAAGGGTACCAAAACATTTCTGCAGCATTGAAGGTCCCCAAGAACACAGTGGCCTCCATCATTCTTAAATGGAAGAAGTTTGGAACCACCAAGACTCTTCCTAGAGCTGGCCGGGGGAGCAATCGGGGGAGAAGGGCCTTGGTCAGGGATGTGACCAAGAACCCGATGGTCACTCTGACAGAGATCCAGAGTTCCTCTGAGAACCACCCAGAAGGACAACCATCTCTGCAGCACTCCACCAATCAGGCCTTTATGGTAGAGTGGCCAGACGGAAGCCACTCCTCAGTAAAAGGGACATGACAGTCCGCTTGGAGTTTGCCAAAAGGCACCTAAAGGACTCTCTGGTCTGATGAAACCAAGATTGAACTCTTTGGCCTGAATGCCAAACGTCACGTCTGGAGGAAACCTGGCACCATCCCTACGGTGAAGTATGGTGGTGGCAGCATCATGCTGTGGGGATGTTTTTCAGTGGTATCGACTGGGAGACTAGTCAGGATCAAGGGAAAGATGAATGGAGCAAAGTACAGAGAGATCCTGCTCCAGAGCGCTCAGGACCTTAGACTGGGGTGAAGGTTCACCTTCCAACAGGACAACGACCCTAAGCCCACACCCAAGACAACGCAGGAGTGGCTTCGGGACAAGTCTCTGAATGTCCGTGAGTGGCCCAGCCAGAGCCCGGACTTGAACCCGATCAAACATCTCTGGAGAGACCTGAAAATAGCTGTGCAGCCATCCAACCTGACAGAGTTTGAGAGGATATGCAGAGCAGAATGGGAGAAACTCCCCAAATACAGGCGTGCCAAGCTTAGCGTCATACCCAAGAAGACTCGAGGCTGTAATCGCTGCCAAAGGTGCTTCAACAGAGTACTGAGTAAAGGGTCTGAATACTTATGTAAATGTGATATCAGTAGTTTTTTTAAATACATTTGCAAATATTTCTAAACGCCTGTCTTTGCTTTGTCATTATGGGGTATAGTGTGTAGATTGATGAGGGGGAAAAACTATTGAATCCATTTTAGAATAAGGCTCTAACATAACAAAATGTGGAAAAAGGGGTCTGAATACTTTCCTAATGCACTGTATTCCCAGTGGGTTTTCACCATTTTGATTTCACACTCAGAGGAGGCAAGGAAAGGAAGGAAGGAAGCCATTTCAGACTATTGGGATGTCAACTTGAGGACACATTCCAATCAGACAGGCAGGCAATAGGTCAGGCAGTAGGGCAGGCAGGCAGTACGGCAGGCAGTAGGACAGGCAGGCAGGCAGTAGGTCAAGCAGTAGGGCTGGCAGGCAGTACGGCAGGCAGGCAGTCAGGCAGGTAGTAGGGCAGGCAGGCAGTACGGCAGGCAGGCAGTAGGGCAGGCAGGCAGTAGGACAGGCAGTAGGACAGGCAGGCAGTAGGACAGGCAGGCAGTAGGGCAGGCAGTAGGACAGGCAGGCAGTAGGGAAGGCAGTAGGACAGGCAGGCAGTACGGCAGGCAGGCAGTAGGGCAGGCAGTAGGGCAGAAGTAGGGCAGGCAGGAGGGCAGGCAGGCAGTAGGACATGCAGTAGGACAGGCAGTAGGACAGGCAGTAGGGCAGGCAGTACGGCAGGCAGTAGGGCAGGGAGTAGGGCAGGCAGGCAGTAGGGAAAGCAGTAGGGAAGGCAGTAGGACAGGCAGTAGGGCAGACAGGCAGTAGGGCAGACAGACAGTAGGACAGGCAGTAGGGCAGACAGGCAGTAGGACAGACAGTAGGGCAGTAGGGCAGTAGGGCAGACAGACAGTAGGGCAGACAGACAGTAGGGCAGACAGACAGTAGGGCAGACAGGCAGTAGGACAGACAGGCAGTAGGGCAGGCAATAGGGCAGACTGGCAGTAGGGCAAACAGACAGTAGGGCAGACAGTAGGGCAGACAGACAGTAGGGCAGACAGGCAGTAGGGCAGACAGGCAGTAGGGCAGACAGTAGGGCAGACAGGCAGTAGGGCAGGCAGTAGGGCAGACAGGCAGTAGGGCAGACAGACAGTAGGGCAGACAGTAGGGCAGACAGTAGGGCAGGGTGCTGTATAACTGTACCAGTAGTTACTCTGTCAGCAGAACTGACACTCTGTACTATCAAGGGTCAAGGTCTATATTTCCCAATAGACACTTCAATCACTCTCCACAATGTCAGCAAATATATAGCCTAATAACTGCATTATAGCATTATTATTACAATCAACAACTGCAGAACCATACTATTTTTGGAATACTTAGTAATTGAGATGTGACTATATTTTGGAGACAGTAGCTGGCGTTCCTGTAGACTATCGTGTACCACTCTGCCAAGGGGTCTGGACATTTACGGGAACAGATCATGTTAACACAGGACAGAGCCTGTGTGTCAACCCCTTCCTCATCCAAAATCGGACATGCTGTCGAAACTATATAGAGAACCTATATTTTTTTACCCACACAAAGAAAGCCATGGCTTTTCAATGGCGAGGTGGACAAGTGCCGTGTTGATGCACAAAAGTAAGGTATCATTATATTAGCCTACATTGTAGGCGTCTAGGCTTGTTCGGCCCATACAAACATGAGGTCGCCACTAAATGCAAATGACTACATAAGATCCTATAGCCTATAAACGCTACCCGTGTGTGGACGGTCATTGTATTTAGTTTATGTCGTATATGAAGATTATGACTTTGTTAATGTTTTTAAGTGGAACCTGAAAGGATGTTTATTTAGCAGAAAGAGAGCCGGTTTTAGTGACACCCCGGATAGGACAGAGAAGTCTGTGTGTTGTAGACAGGGGATTGGACAGTAGAGGGAGCCACCCCTATCTTGGGAAGATTATATATACTGGGTAAAAAGCGAAGAAGAGGTTAGAGCGGCCATTGCAATTCGGGGGATGCCGTTCTCCGGGTGATCTTGACACCGGTAAGCTCATGCTGAAATCTTGTGATATGAATAAACCTTATGATCAAAGTTCAGTATGAGCGGACTCTTTGTTTGACAGCAATAGGTACCAGCATCGACGCGATACCACATTTACTTACCGCACTGCTTGCTTATATACGGTAGATTTCAAGGTGAGTCGCAATGTATTCCTGACCCTCCGCTGCGTTCATTCGTTAGGTAACTCAGACTGCCTTGAGGAGCGACCGTCTGCTATCGACTACAAGTCTATAAAATGTGCTCTGATAACACCAGTCAGCCTTCAGCATTGCCAATGGCACTAGGTATAGTTTAGATTGAGCACTGCAAATAACTGCGGCTATTTCGAAGCCTCCTTGTGAATCACATATAGCCAGCAATTAAATTAAATTCAAAGGGCTTTATTGGCATGGGAAACGTATGTTAACATTGCCAAAGCAAGTGAAATAGATAATAAACAAAAGTGAAATAAACAATAAACATTAACAGTAAACATTACTCAGAAGTTCCAAAAGAATAAAGACATTTCAAATGTCATATTCTGTCTATATACAGTGTTGTAACAATGTGTAAATAGTTAAAGTACAAATGGGAAAATAAATAAACATAAATATGGGTTGTATTTACAATGGTGTTTGTTCTTCATTGGTTACCCTTTTCTTTTGGCAA